CAACAGCCCCTTGCTGAATATGGAAGTTGTGATACTGTTCTGTTCTTGCAGATATAAATCACATACTGAATTCCAGCCACATTTGGTGCTCTGATTGTCTTAAAAAGAAATATGGGGTTTTATTGCTCTGTTGGGTCCTTCTTAGTTGTGACATTTTATGCTATATTTTAAGCTGCAGTTTGATTACCTTTCGTTTTCTTTCACTTGTTTCATTTTTTGCTTTGTTTTTTACATGCCCAGGTAGCCATATAAATCTGATGAGTAAATATAATGACATGCAAATGTTTATCTAATCTGTTTGCAAACAAAGAAATCTTATATCTATGATGGTGTAGTTTTGACAAGCTTAATATCTTCCTTCTCTTGTCAAGGAAAGCTCTTCTCCTAGGAAAGTCATGAAGAATGGTACCACAGTGACAGAATTCATCTTAATGGGACTTTCTGATCTGCCAGCTATCCGCTTTTCTCTCTTTGCGGTTTTCCTGCTCATCTACCTGGTCAGCCTGCTGGGAAATGGCACCATCCTTCTTGCCATAGGAGCAGACTCACACTTGGATAATCCCATGTACTTCTTCCTCAGCAATCTTTCCTTGCTAGACATCTTTTGTCCCACAGCAACAGTGCCCAAAATGCTGGATAACCTCTTAACAGGGAATAGTATTATTTCCTTTGCTGGCTGTATGCTGCAACTCTACTTCTTGGTCGCCTTGGCAGGGACAGAGGGCTTCCTCTTGTCTGTCATGGCCTATGACCGTTATGTGGCTGTCTGCAACCCCTTGAGATACACGGTCATCATGAATAAGAAGCTCTGTCTTCAGATGGCTACTGGTACATAGATCACTGGGTTTCTGAACTCTTTTCTACACACAGTGATGACCTTCACACTTCCTTACTGTAATTCCAACAGAGTCAATCAATACTATTGTGACATCCCACCAGTACTGGCCTTATTGTGTGCTTCTACCTATGAGGCTGAGATGGTTGTCCTTATTGTTGGTGGCATTTTTGGTGTGGGAACTTCTCTGGTGACCCTGATCTCTTATGTTCACATCATCTCCACCATCCTCAGGATCCGTTCTGTGGAGGGGAAACGCAAGGCTTTTTCCACATGTGCCTCTCACCTCATGGTGGTGTGCCTCTTCTATGGGACCACCATCTTCACTTATATAAGGCCTTCTTCCAGCCACCATCCAGACCAGGACAGGCTGATGAGCATCCTGTATGGGGTGATCATCCCCATGTTGAACCCTTTAATCTATAGTCTTAGAAACAAAGAGGTAAAAAAGGCCCTGAAGCGTATGATGATTTATAACTCTGGAAGAATAATAAAATCATAGAACTGGAAAGCACATTATTGGATGCCTTTTGAAAAGCATATTTGGCGCAAGCATTTTGATGTGCATGTTTTATGTAGAACTTAGCTATTGGAGTGTTTACTGAATGTTTGGATCAACACATATTTATCCTTTAAAGTTTTATCTCATTTTCCTGCTAACTGTTGTATTAGTCATACATGAAAAAAAAAATAACTAAAATGTCTGATTGCAAACTAGTTTACTCCTGCTTGCTTGTGTACTCCATTTGAACTCTGTCCGGAAGCTCCAAATGGTCCAACAGATGGCAGCAAGATTACTAACAGGAGTGGCGCTCAGAGAGCATACAACTCCTCTGTAACGTCAGCTCCACTGGCTGCCAGTCTGCTACCGGGCACAATTCAAAGTGCTGGCTTTAGCCTATAAAGCCCTAAACAGTTCTGGCCCAACTTACCTGTCCAAACGTATCTCCCCTTATGAACCTGCTAGGACTTTAAGATCGTCCGGGGAGGCCCTGTTCTCGATCCCATCTGCATCACAAATATGTTTGGCGGGGATGAGAGACAGGGCCTTTTCAATGGTGGCCCCTTGGCTATGGAATGCCCTTCCTAGGGACATTAGATCGGCCTCCTCCCTCTTAACATTCCAGAAAAGAGTCAAGACCTGGCTGTTCGAGCAAGCATTTATTTATTTACTGTATTTGTATACCGCTTTTCTCACCCCGAGGGGGACTCAAAGCAGTTTACACATAAGTAATGGCAAAATTCAATGCCAGTACAAACAATTACAACTATACACTACAATTAGACATAAATCAAATTCAAACAATACACCCATAAGCAATACAACAATAACTAAAACCATAAAACAGTCTCGTCCGTCGAATCGCCGTTCCAGTCATTGTCTTTCCGAAATGCTGCATACATTTACTTCTACTGCCTGAAGACCTGGTCCCAACACCATAATTTTAATTTTTTTTTCTAAAAGCCAGGAGGGAGGGAGCAGATCTTACCTCATTTGGGAGTGTGTTCCATAGGCGGGGGGCCTCCGCCGAGAAGGCCCTGTCTCTCGCCCCCGCCAGATGCGTCTGTGCTGTTGACGGAAGTGAGAGCAGGGCCTCCCCGGATGATCTTAGAAATGCAATGTAAGAGACATAGGAACTTGGAACGACTGGACAATGAGATTGATAATATTTTTAATTAGGAGACGCAAATGGCTTAAGTTTTTATTACTTTTGTTTGGTTTTATACTATGTATTAATGTTTTAAATGTTTTGTGATGTTCTTGGGCATCGAATAGTTGCCTCTGTAAACTGCCTGAGGGCTGAGAAAGGTGGTATACAAATATAGTAAACGAACAATCAAACAAATAAATAATTTGATACATTGCAACTGAATTGTATTTTGTAGCATTTTAATTTTCAGCAAATACTTTTCTCTTGGCAAAATTTAGAATGTAAATATGTCTGCTTCCCTAAATGAGTAATGTGATGGTATGGATTGAAATCCTTGCTTGAATTATGAAGGATCTGAGAACACAAAAACAGCATTAAATACAACAACAGAAAGTACGCAGAAGCTGGATTTGGCACACCACAAACTGTTGAATAAAGGAAATTTTATTGGTCAAACAAGAGATGTTCCTTTGTGGATTGCCTTGGGGGCCCTGATGGATTGAAAGGGAAAACACAGACTCCAGAAATGCACACATACACAAATACTTTTGCAGGATAGATATGAAGCTCTCTTGAAAACGCGAGGCTGTAGGGATTCCAAAATATTCTTAGTTGTCATAACCCTCAGACTATACATATCTTGACCAATAATATTATTAAACCCGGACCACAAAAATTATAACACAGAGGCTAAACTCTTTTATAACATCATGTATTTGAATTGATGTCCCATAGATATTTTTCGGATGCAGAATGCAGGACACTTAATGTCTTACAGAATGGGGGGCATTGAATGACCATTATTGCTAAGAAAATCTGATTTAGGAATGAATAAGTTGGGCTTCAGAGTCTGAGAGAGAGTGAAATATTTATTTTAATGTCTTCAATTATTATTGTTTATGTTCAATTTCAGTTAATAAAATATTACCTAATAGAAGCCAAACAAAGTAATAGTTGAAGCCATTTTTTAAAAAAACTTTTCACTCTTATCTAAAATAATGGAAATGTAATAATAACAGTAATAATAGAGTAAAATAATAAATGTAATAATAACAGAGTAAAAATAATAAATATAATAATAACAACAATAATAAAATAAAATAATAAATGTAATGGGTTGCTGTAGGTTTTTTCGGGCTATATGGCCATGTTCTAGAGGCATTCTCTCCTGACGTTTTGCCTGCATCTATGGCAAGCATCCTCAGAGGTAGTGAGGTCTGTTGGAACTAGGAAAAAGGGTTTATATATCTGTGGAATGACCAGGGTGGGACAAAGGACTTTGTCTGTTGGAGCTAGGTGTGAATGTTTCAACTGACCACCTTGATTGACATTTGATTGCCTGGCAGTGCTGGAGCAATATTTTGTTGAGAGGTGATTAGATGTCCTTGTTTGTTTCCTCTCTGTTGTTGTGCTGTTCCTAGTTCCAACAGACCTCACTACCTCTGAGGATGCTTGCCATAGATGCAGGTGAAACATCAGGAGAAATGCCTCTAGAATATGGTGGCCATATAGCCCGAAAAAACCTACAACAACCCAGTGATTCCATCCATGAAAGCCTTCGACAATACAATAAATGTAATACTACTACTAATAATAATAATAATAAATAGAGTAAATTAATAAATGTAATAATAATAGTAAATAGAGTAAAATAAGAAATGTAGTAATAATAGTAAATAGAGTAATAATAATACTTTATTTATATACCCCGCCTACATCTCCCCCAAGGGGACTCGGTATGGCTTACATATGGCCATGCCCATCAATACAGTAAAACACAATATAAACACAAAAACACAACAAAAAATCAGAAAATAAAGTACATAAAATGCAAAACCAATATAAGTAAATGAGTAAAATAATAAATGTAGTAATAATAACAAATAGAGTTAGCTGGCCCTGATTGATTCTTCTCTGGAATTCCCCTGCTTATTGAGTCTTGCTCTTTATTTACTGTTCTGATTTTAGAGAACACAGAAATGCTGGACCACTCTAACAACCACCATGTCAGATTACACAGAGAAGTGATTGAAATCCATAAGCATGTGGACAACTTCAACAGAAAGGAGAAAACAATGAAAATGAACAAAATCCGGCTACCAGTATTTAAAACTCTAGAATTAGGACAGTAAATGAAGAGCAACACTCAGGAAACAGGAGAATTCCAGACAAGAAACAATCAGGTCCAGTTAACACTTCCCAACAAAGGCTTCCCCCAGGCAGCAACCAGCTAGACCTTGAAACTGCAGGCCACTAAGTGCTAAGCAAGGTGGCAAATTGCAACATTCACACATGCCTCTAGCAGACAAGAGTTCTTTCTCCCACCCTGGACATTCCACAGATGTTTAAACCTCACTTACTTAGTTTTCAACAGACCTCACAACCTCTGAAGATGCCTGCCATAGATGTGGGTGAAACGTCAGGAGAGAATGCTTCTGGAATGTGGCCATACAGCCCAGAAACAACCCAAAATATGTGATAGTGGTTTGACATAACCAGGTGATGATTTCCGATTATCTACAGAAGACAGTTTTCTGCAACACTGATTTTTTAAATGCCACGTTTATCTCTTTATTTCTCAATGTGTAAATGATTGGGTTGCATGTTGGTGTCACTACCGTGTAGAGAAGGGACAGGACCCTATTGCTGCCCAAGGAGTGGGCTGATTTGGGTCGGATGTAGGTGAAGATGGTCGTTCCAAAGAACAGAGAAACCACAATGAGATGGGAAGCACAAGTAGAGAAGGTTTTGTGTCTGTTCTTAGCCACAGGCATCATGAGGATGGTGGTGATGATGAGGCTGTAGGACAAGATGATGAGTAGAAAGGGCACAAGGATGAAGAACACTGTCACAGTGATAACTACCATCTCATTATTGATGGTGTTCGTCGTAGCCAGTTTCAAGACAGGCAGAATGTCGCAGAAAAAATGGCTTACTCTATTAGGTCCACAAAAGGGAAGAATAAATATTGAAAAGCACTGTCCGAAAGCTACCAAAATACCAGTGACCCATGAGATGGCAGCCAGCTGGGCACATTCCCGGGGAGTCATAATGCATGGGTATTGCAGAGGTTTGTATATGGCAACATAGCGGTCGTATGCCATCACACAGGGAAGGCAACACTCTGTGATGCCAAAAAGAACAAAGAAATACATATGAGTTCCACAACCTGCAAAGGAGATGGTTCGTGTCTCTGACCACAAATGTGTTAGGGTCTTAGGGATGATGCATGAAGTGTAGCCAATTTCCAGCAAGGATAGGTTCTGGAGGAAGAAGTACATTGGTGTGTGAAGCATAGGCTCCGTGATGGTGAGGATCAAAATCAGACTGTTCCCAATGAGTGCCACCAGGTAGAAAATTAGTACAAGCCCAAACAAAAGCTTCTGTGAGGTCTGGAAATCTGAGAAGCCTAAAAGGATGATCTCCGTCAAGCAAGTCTGGTTGAATTCTCTCATTGCGTCATTGGGATGGAGACACCTTAAGACCTTCAAGGAAAGAAATGAAGAGAAACATATTATTTGAGAGTATATTATTTGAGAACACAGAAATGCTGGACCACTCCAACAACCACCATGTCAGACTACACAGAGAAGCCATTGAAATACACAAGCATGTGGATAATTTCAACAGAAAGGAGGAGACCATAAAAATGAACAAAATCTGGCTACCAGTATTAAAAAAACTCTAAAATTACAACAGCAAAACAGCAGAGGGGAAACAATCAGGCACATCTAATCACCTCTCAAGAAAAGATTCCCCCAGGCACAGTCAGGCCATCAAATGCCAATCAAAGTGGCCAGCTGAAACATTCACACCTAGCTCCAGCAGACAAGAGTTCTTTGCCCCACTCTGGTCATTCCACAGATATATAAACCCAGTTTCCTAGTTCCAATAGACCTCACTACCTCTGAGGATGCTTGCCAAAGATGCAGGTGAAACGTCAGGAGAAAATGCCTCTAGAACATGGCCATATAGCCCGAAAAAACCTACAACAACCTAATGAAGAACATAGTTAACTGAAGTGTCTTAAGTCTATTAGGATCCTTCTACAAGGCCATATAATCCAGATTATCAAAGCAGGTAATCCAGATTATCTGCTTTGAACTGGGTTATATGAGTCTACACTGCCATTTATGTTGATTTATTGACCTCCGAGTATCTGCTCAAAGGCACAAAAATAAATAATGAAGTGTGCTACTTCAGTCAGCTCCAAAGCCCGGAGCAGCACTTAACTTCTAGAACATGGCCATACTGCCCGAAAAACCTACAACAACCCAGAACTCTTGCCTGTTTGAAGCAAGTGTGAACATTGCAATTAGCAAGCTTGATTAGCATTGAGTAGCCTGGACATTCCACAGATATACATAAACTCCACTTGCTTCATTTCAAACAGACCTCTGAACAAGCCTCTGAGGATGCTTATCACAGATGCAGGTGAAACATCAGGAAAGAATGCTACTGAAACATGGCCACACAGCCCAAAAAACACAGCAATCCAGTGATTCCTGCCATGAAATTTTCAACAACACATATGCTATGCTATCAGATCTTCATTGCCGGATGGTAGCTAAAGCCTATGAACTATGAACATGTTAATCATTAATATTGATAGCCATCTATATAAATAAAAATGTTCGTTTGTGGGATTAACATAACGCAAAAACCACTGGATGAATTGACACCAAATTTGGACACAAGACACTTATCAGGCCAATGAGTGACCATCATTCATAAAAACATTGAAAAACACAGTAGAAGAGACTTAAAAAGCCAAACAATTAAAAAAATACATTACAATGCATGCGCAAAACCACATATATATACACACGCAAGCATACATATCATATACACAAACATATACACACACATAAACACATATATATGCACACACAGAACATATATACACAGACTGGGCCACAGCAATGCATGGCAAGGGATGACTAGTTATATAATAAAATGGTTATCCAGAGTTGAGTTCTACTTTGGTATTCAATCATTACAAAGCATCATTCAAAAATTAAACTTCTATAATTAGTTGTTTATGTGGAGCCCCCGGTGGCGCAATGGGTTAAACCTTTGTGCCGGCAGGACTGAAGACCGACAGGTCACAGGTTCGAATCTGGGGAGAGCGTGGATGAGCTCCCTCTGTCAGCTCCAGCTCCTCATGCAGGGACATAAGAGAAGCCTCTCACAAGGATGGTAAAACATCAAAACATCCGGGTGTCCCCTGGGCAACGTCCTTGCAAACGGCCAATTCTCTCACACCAGAAGCGACTTGCAGTTTCTCAAGTCACTCCTGACATGAAAAAAAGTTGTTTATGTATGTAGTGCTAGACAGGAATTAATGAGGCAGATTCTTCTTCTTAATAACTGTTAGCTTCCTAACCATTTCATATTTCAACTCAACTTTTGATGAGGGCCTAAGGGGCCAGTTTGCAGCAGCCATTATGGAATACAATAAACTACAATTAACCTCTATAGAAATTATATTAAAAAGTTTTTTTTAAAAAACTTCCCTGAAACCTTAATTGGTTCCTCTGGAACTCTGCAGATGTCTTTGAACAAGAGAGCTTCAGAGAGCTTCAAATCACAGATTAACACTGGACCAAAAAATAAAATATATAAATAAAAGATATAGATAGATTCTGTATAGGATGCCAATCTTACAAATAATGTAAATATATGTATTTTAAAACAATGGTCACTTGATGGCAGCAACAGACAAAAAAGGAAATTCTATTGGGTAAAAAATGATCATAGTGAATGGAATATACCCAAATATAGGAAAACGTTCTTTACCACCAGATTAAAGCAATTTCTTTACATTGGCTGGAGTATCACCATTTACATCGCATAATTTTTCAGTATACTTAACTATGCTACTGTTTTTTTTTACTAATACTGTTTTTTTTTTACTGTTTTAATGAATGTTTTATTTATTGTTTTAAGTGGTATTATATTGCTGTGTTATATGTAGTGGTATCAAATTGCTGCCAAATGGAAACTGTCCTGAGCCCCCCTTTGCGCGTTGAAAAGGAATGGGATAGAATTACAGGAAATAAATAATAAATAAATACTGGGGTGTTATTACTGAATTGTGAATATGCATATTAGTACATCAGTTAGATGGCTTCTCCCCTTTTCCTTGGTTGCATGGGTGTCTTTGCTTATCTCCATGAGGTCTGTGAAATGCCCTGGATGTCATCTAGATATCCAGGACCAACTTCTGGTTGAACCTAAGAGTTTTAAGCCATTTTAGATGCAGAACTTTTAATTTCCTTTTCTGATGGAAGCTGTGGAAGCTCTGGATTTTCAGGACTGATCTTTGAGAACAGGTCATCAAAGTTAAGACTGAAGGAAGGACATATAAGAAACTGCACATCCATTCAAGAACTTGCAGGCACACGTTCTAATAAGCATGATGCTTGCTTTATTGATATAGATTTACAAAGAGTTGTCTTAATCCTTCTTAGACCATTGACCAAACACATGACTTCCAGAGAAGGCATTGTGGGACCAAAACTGATTAATGAAGAAACTGGACAATTATTTTACTACCATCACCAATAGCACCACCACTAACAACAACATAATTTATATCTTTGTAACATAGTTAGGAGCCCCCAGTGGTGCAGTGGGTTAAACTGCTGAGCTGCTGAGCCTGCTGACCAAAAGGTCGGTGGTTCAAATCTGGGGAGCAGGGTGAGCTCCAGCTGTTAGCCCCAGCTTCTGCCAACCTAGCAGTTCAAAAACATGCAAATGTGAGTATATCAATATGTAATGCTTCAGTGGGAAGGTAACGACACTCCGTGCAGTCATGTCACCACATGACCTTGGAGGCATCTATGGATAGCGCTGGCTCTTTGGCTTAGAAATAGAGATGAGCACCATTTCCCAGAGTTGGACACAACTAGAGTTAATGTCAAAGGGAAACCTTTACTTTACCTTAACGTAGAGTTAATGCCTCCATAGCACCTTTGTATCCGGGAAGACTGTATAAATGTCTGCCAAAGTCTACCGCAGGGTTCCTCAAACTAAGGCCCGAGGGCCAGATACAACCCTCCAAGGTCATTTCCCGGCCCTTGCTCAAGGTCAACCTAAGTCTGAAACGACTTGAAAGCACATAACAACAATCCTATCTCATCAGCCAAAAGCAGGCCCACACTTCCCAATGCAATACTAAGTTTATATTTCTTAAAATTGTTCATTATTTTAATTATTGTATTGTTGTTAAGTGTTTTTTGCACTACAAATAAGATATGTGCAGTGTGCATAGGAATTCATTCATTTTTTTTCAAATTATAATCTGGCTCTCCAACAGTTTGAGGGACTGTGACCTGGCCCTCTGTTTAAAAAGTTTGAGGACCCCTGGTCTACCTTAACAGCCAACTAGTGGATCAAACAAACCCAACTGTGATGCAAGGAGGTTGATATATCCAAAGTCTTCCTGCCAGAGAGTGAACTTACAACAATCCAAAAGAGGACCTGTTGCAAGTCCTTGTCAAAACTTGGCTTGATAGCAGGAGATGGCTAGAAACATCCTCCTCTTTACACACCAATTGGAAGCTGAATGGACATGCTTCATCAAATATTGCCAATGGTTCTTAAGGTGGACGAGGGAGGAGGATGGGTCCAGGAGATGCAGTCATAACTAAGTAGTCTATATCACAGGAATGGGCAAAATGTGGCCCTGTAGGTGTTTTGAACTTCAACTTCCACAATTCCTAACAGGCAATAGGCTGTTAGGAATTGTGGGAGTTGAAACCCAAAACGTCTGGAAGGTCAAAGTTTGCCCATGCCTGCTATATTGGCAATCATCACCCAAACATGTCATGTTTCTGTTCGCTTAAAGTATGTGGTTACAATGATATAACAGGTTGTTTTGATTAAGTCCTAAGCTGGGAAAGTCCAATGTTCTCACTACTACCTTACATTGATTCTTATTGTGTATTTATGTGTAAGCTTCTTCAGTGCATCTTTAACTTCTTTATTCCTTAGGGAATATATGAGTGGATTGAGCAGAGGTGTCACTACTGAATAAAGTATAGCAATCACCTTGTCTTCTTGTTGAGAATAGACTGAGGTGGGTCTGATATATGTATAGATTATGGTGGAAAAGTAAAAGCTGACCACCAGGAGGTGTGAAGAACAAGTAGAGAAGGCTTTCTTTTTCCCTTCAGTAGATCGAATTCTAAATATGGTTGACAGAATGAATGAGTATGAGGCTAATGTCAGCATGCAGCTGCCCATGGAGAAGACTGCATCGGATATGTAAGCCATGGTCTCATTGAGGCTAACATCTGAGCAAGAGAGTGACAGCAGTGGAGGCAGGTCACAAAAGAAATGGTTGATGACATTGGAGCCACAGAAGGAGAGCCGCAGCAGAAGTCCCACATGAACTGCAGAATTAACAGATCCAGCCATCCACACCCCGGCTACCACCCCAACGTATGCTTCCTTCCTCATGATGACTGTGTACTGCAAAGGATGGCAGATGGCAGCATAGCGATCAAAGGCCATAAATGAGAGGAGTAAGAGTTCTGTCCCCAGAGCCCAGAGTAAAAGGTAGACCTGGGCCATGCAGCCCCAAAAGGAGATGGTCTTCCTGTGGACCAATGAAGTCCGCAACATGTTGGGAATAGTCACCGAGATACACAGCATATTTGCTAGGGACAGATTGATGAGCAGGAAATACATTGGGGTATGGAGCTTGCTGCAACTTCCAATAGTAAAGATGAAGAGAAAATTAACCGCCAAAGCAGCTGTGTAAATAAAAGTGAATCCTCCGAAGATGACCATCTGATGTTCAGGAGAGCTGGTCAAGCCTACCAAGAGAAACTCCTGAATGGTTGTCTGGTTCTTTTGCATTTCCATATGTTCTGAATTTAGGCTGGATTCACCCCGGTTCTCCTCAAGAGACCTGTATATTGTCAAGACTAGCATGGATAAGAAGACTATTATTATTAACAGACACAACAGATGTTTCATAGCAATGTAAAGTCAGAGTTCTACCTACTTTAAAGATCGCCAGTCCAGAAAGAACACTATGTATACATATATCCGTGTATAAATTGAACACATGTATGAGCTGAAGCAGGCTTTGGGGGCAAAATTATGGATTTTGATATCATCTATGGATAAGTTAAGGGTCATACTGCAGAGAAGGAAACCACCAATGCCACCATGAGGAGCCAGCCATACCAGGTCGCTGCCATTTCCACACACTGGCATTCAAAAAGGCCAGAAATGGCATCATGATGGAGGGTTGGGGGGAGGGTGAGGGTGAATGTCAATACTTCTTTTAGGTTCCCTCAAGTTGGACTAACCTCTTGCCTTTTGATACTCTATTCAGTGAAGGGGTGGGCTCATTTGTGATAAAAACTAAGGTACGGAAAATATATTGACCCATGGATAAGTTTCCTCAAATTTGTGGGTTGAGAACAAAATGTCTAGACTTATGTCTGAGCACACAGAGTATGTCCTTGAAATTATGTATGTTTGCAGATATGTGTGCACTCTGGAGTAAGCACAATGTGAGTTGGGACCTCATCACATTATATAACAACAACAACAACAACAATTGGCACACTGGGTGCAGTGCCTGAAGACCTTGGCCTGCACTTAAACACAATCGGCATTAACAAAATTACCATCTGTCAGCTGCAAAAGGCCACCCTACTGGGTTCTGCATGCATTATTCACTGATAGTCCTAGACACTGGGGAAGTGTCCAATGTGTGATCTAATACAACAGCCAGCAGAGTGACCTTGTTTGCTGTGAACTTATCTTGTTGTGTATCTAACAACAAAAACAACATCAACAATTTATTTATAGACTGCCCTCTCTCCCCAAGGGGACTCAGGGTTGTTTACACACAAAAAAGGTCAACATTAAATGCCCTTAGCAACTATAAACACTTCTGAATAATACAAAATAATACAAGAGAATAACTATAAACATAACAAAAGAGAATTGACATCAAAATGAAAAACAGAATATGAATAATCAAATAGACATAATTATGCTAATACATTATACATTAAGGACAAGAAGCCATGGGACAGCAGGGGAAACCACGGGGCAGCGTAAGGCTTTGTCCCCTTACTGTCAGTGGTTATGGGATCCCTTCTATAATGTTTCCATGCTGTCCCCAAGCTTCCTCTCACCTCCTCCTCAGTTTCTTTTTGGCTCTGCTGATACGCTGCTGACAAGGTCCAAAAGAGCTCAGTTGGAAGTAGCCCTGTATAATTTGATAGGCTCTGGGGTACTCTGTGCCGGCAGTATGCCAGCAGCACCCAGAAGCACAAAGAATATGCTTCTGGACCTCAGCAATTTGTGTCCAGTGAAGTCAATGATTTCTTTCATCCTTTCTACAAGTTTTTACTACAGAGCACCAAAACCCATATTTCTCACAACTAGACTTATGGAAGTGGAGGAACCAAACCTCACTATTTCACAACTGCAAGTAAGTGCTGTGTAGCTCTTGGACTACCAAGCCACAATGAATGAGTGCTCATTATGGCCATATGTTGGGTACAACATTACCTTTCTACAAGTTCTCAGAACAGAGCAAAACATCCATACTAAAATCTATATTTCTCACAACTAGAGTTGTGAGAGCCCCCAGTGGCGCAGTGGGTTAAACCCCTATGCCAGTAGGACTGAAGATCACAGGTTCGAATCTGGGGAGAGGCAGATGAGCTCCCTCTATCAGCTCCAGCTCCTCATACGGGGACATGAGAGAAGCCTCCCACAAGGATGATAAAAACATCAAATCATCTGGGCGTCCCCTGGGCAACGGCCTTGCAGACGGTCAATTCTCTCACACCAGAAGCGACTTGCAGTTTCTCAAGTTGCTCCTGACACGACAAAAAAACAACAACTAGAGTTATGGAAGTGAGGGAACCAAACCCCACTATTTCACAACTGCAAGTTGGAAGTGCTGTAGCTCTCGGACTACCAAGCCACAATGAGTGAGTGTTTATTATGGCCACATGTTAGGTACAACATTACCCTTTTCTGTCTGTAAGATATAGTATGATATTTGTGAGCAACTTATATTTCCCTGTTTCTTATTGTGACAATTTCTTCCATCCACTTTATCATTCATCAAATAGAATTGACTTCTCTAGCTACATATATACATTGCAACATATTCCCAGGAGGAAAAAAAAAGTAATATCAGGGTATTAACCATGATCTTGAAAATCAACGTTCAAAAGTGCTCTGTACCTGAGTATCAGATGCTATGATCTGGCAGTAGTGCAAGGATCTTCCATGATACACTGCTTTCTGGGTTCCTGAAAGCATCTCGATAGTTACTGTTAGGAATTAGAAGCTGTATTAGATAGATATTTAGACTGATCCAGCAGAGCATTTATTAACATTCTTGGATGCATCCATTTTTCATTAACAGAATCAACTTGATCATATAAAAAACCAAGGCAGTCAGCTTTTGGAAAGCAATTTTAAAAAGCTGTGTTATTATGTTATAATGTAGCAGTCTCCTCCACTAGGTTCTTGTGGGTTTTTTCGGGCTATAGGGCCATGTTCTAGAGGCATTTCTCCTGACGTTTCGCCTGCATCTATGGCAAGCATCCTCAGAGGTTAGTGAGGTCTGTGGAAGTAGGAAAAATGGGTTTATATATCTGTGGAATGGCTGGGGTGGGGCAAGGAGCTCTTCCCTGCTGCAGTTAGGTGTGAATGTTTAGCTGATCACCTTCATTAGCATTTGAAGGCCTGCCTGAGTCTGGGAAAATCTGTTGCTGGGAGGTGTTAAATCTGTGCCTGGTTTTTTCCTCTCTGTTGTTTAGCTGTTATAATTTTAGAGTTTTTTAATACTGGTAGCCAGATTTTGTTCATTTTCATGGTCTCTTCCTTTCTGTTGAAATTGTCCACATGCTTGTGGATTTCAATGGCTTCTCTGTGTAGTCTGACATGGTGGTTGTTGGTGTGGTCCAGCATTTCTGTGTTCTCAAATAATATGCTGTGTCCAGGCTGGTTCATCAGGTGCTCTGCTATGGCTGACTTTGAGAACACAGAAATGCTTTATTTGAGAACACAGAAATGCTGGACCACACCAACAACCACCATGTCAGACTACACAGAGAAGCCATTGAAATCCACAAGCATGTGGACAATTTCAACAGAAAGGAAGAGACCATGAAAATGAACAAAATGTGGCTACCAGTATTAAAAAACTCTAAAATTATAACAGCTAAACAACAGAGAGGAAAAAACCAGGCACAGATTAACACCTCCCAGCAACAGATTTTCCCAGACTCAGGCAGGCCTTCAAATGCTAATGAAGGTGATCAGCTAAACAGTCACACCTAACTGCAGCAGGGAAGAGCTCCTTGCCCCACCCCAGCCATTCCACAGATATATAAACCCATTTTTCCTACTTCCAACAGACCTCTCAACCTCTGAGGATGCTTGCCATAGATGCAGGCGAAACGTCAGGAGAAATGCCTCTAGAACATGGCTCTATAGCCCGAAAAAAACCCACAAGAACCTAGTGATTCCAGCCATGAAAGCCTTCGACAATACATAGTCTCCTCCACTCTTTGCTGTTATCACACAGTTTTCATTCTACTAGCTAGTAGTTACATATTATGAAGATTTGCGTCCTAGAAAGTGCAGGGAAACAATATTGAACCTTAGTTGACTCTTACCTTCATCCTATTTTGCCAACAAATTTGGAAGAAATCAGTAGAGTCATCTTCCATGCTTCTTTCCTTTTTTCTTATGTCAGAAAATATATTACAATTTCAGTTTTATTGATGAAGCACATAAGAAAAAACCCCTCCCTTCTTCTTCTTCTTCTTCTTCTTCTTATTATTATTATTATTGTTGTTCGGATCAACTTGTTGGTTTACCTGGAAGCAGTAAACGCTGAAATGGTTCAACCCACCCAAAAGCATGAAGCAGAAGATTGCAGTTGTAGTTATACAGACACGCTAAACCCTTCACCAAGAGTGGATGAAGTGGAGAAATCCACAGCACATTTAAATACCGAATGACTCATTCAATACACTATTGGTGCCCCAGAGAGAAAGAGCTTGGTGATGCACAAATTAGCAAAAATCAACCAGTATGGTGAACTTGGATCATAACTGTTGATTGCCTAGTGGCGGCAGAGCCAAAAACAGATGATGTGGGATTATGTGTATGGTATTAAATTGTGCAATTTATTATTCCCTTCTAGATGAGAATAATTAATTGCACAATTCAATACCATATACCATTATTCTCATCTAGAAGACTCCTATTTGCAGGAGAAGATTCAAGCTAAAGCCTGTATGTCTCAGCAGTTTTTTGTCACATTTGACACTTACGGAGCCCGGTGGCTGCATTGTATACATTGCTTGTCAGCTTTCTGAAAGCATCAGGATAGTCTTGAAGATATTAGCCATTTGAGTCCCCTTGTGGGAGAAGGGTGGGGTAGAAATGAAGGAAATAAATAAATAAATAAATAAATAAATTTGAATATAGGTAAAGGTAAAGGTTTCCCCTGACATTAAGTCTAGCCATGTCTAACTCTGGGGGGTGATGTTCATCTCCATTTCTCAGTCGAAGAGCCGGTTTGTCCATAGACACCTCCAGGGTCATGTGGCCAACATGACTGCATGGAGTGCTGTTATCTTCCCACATAAGTAATGCCTGTTGATCTATTCACATTTGCATGTTTTTGAGCTGCTAAGTTGGCAGAAGCTGGGGCTAACAGCAGGAGCTCATTCTGCTCCCCAGATTCAAACCGCTAATATTTTGGTCAGCAAGTTCAGCAGCTCAGTGGTTGGGGCCTTGGGAATATACTCAATTAATTTTCTTCTCCAATCCATAATAAGTAGTTTTTCCCTCTTTCCAAGATTTTGATGTTATTTTGTTTTACTATTGTTATGTGATGCTGATGCTGGCATCGGATTGTGCCTTTGTAAGCCACCCTGAGTCCCCTTCGGGATGAGAAGGGTGGGGTAGAAGAAACCGAA